GAAATAGAGGCAAGACACTGACTTAAGCTCTGAATTTCTGTGCATACACTCAGGAACATCCTCTCTCCACATTCCCTGCCTGTGATTTGGGACTCAAGCTCACCAACCAAGGTCCTGAAAGCAATGTTGGTCCTCTCCACGGACTGTCAGATGCTATGGCCCCTTGCTGGATTATAGTTTCACCTGCAAAGACTAAATGACAGCTAAATAAAATCTTCTGCTACAATTGAATGAGATCTCCAAGATGAGTTCCAAAAGCCAGAGGAACCCCATGTACTAGAAGCCAATCCTTATAGCCAATCCACTAGTCAATGACCACATCTGTAGAGGCCTGAGTGGATATAAAAAGTGGATCCATATCTGATCCACAACTGCTGGAAACAATGTGTATCCGATCTGCATACTGCTCCCCACTTTTTATGTATATCCACATCTGCACCTGGGCAGCAGCAAGCTCAGAGTGCCTCACTTTCAGGAAGAACATCTTGGCTACGTCTACACTGGCCCCTTTTCCGGAAGGGGCATGTAAATTTCACGAGTCGTCGTAGGGAAATCCGCGGGGGATTTAAATATCCCCCGCGGCATTTAAATAAAAATGTCCGCCGCTTTTTTCCGGCTTTTAAAAAAGCCGGAAAAGAGCGTCTAGACTGGCCCCGATCCTCCGGAAAAAGTGCCCTTTTCCGGAGGCTCTTATTCCTACTTTTCCTACTTCAAAGTAGGAATAAGAGCCTCCGGAAAAGGGCGCTTTTTCCGGAGGATCGGGGCCAGTCTAGACGCTCTTTTCCGGCTTTTTTAAAAGCCGGAAAAAAGCGGCGGACATTTTTATTTAAATGCCGCGGGGGATATTTAAATCCCCTGCGGATTTCCCTACGACGACTCGTGAAATTTACATGCCCCTTCCGGAAAAGGGGCCAGTGTAGACGTAGCCCTCGGGAGGGAGTGTCCTAAGGGTGATTGTCCTGCTTTGCCCCACCAGGTGCTCCTCTCGAGGGATGGGGTTGTGGTATTCCTGCAGAGGAGTGTGGTCAGGGCATGAGTGCTTCTCCTGCTCCCTGGTAGGAGCCCCTGGCAGGACAGAGAGGGACAAGCATCCTATCCTGACCATGCTCCTCCACAGGAGCACCTCAGTCCCGCTTCCCAGTAAGTGCTGGGCAGGGCAGAGCAGGACAAGCACTCATGTATAGCCCTTTGTGTTGCATTCGCATCCGCTCCAATATCTGCAAAAATGAATCATGGATATTTGCATCTGTGAACAGGGAGTGGATATCCGTGGATTTGCAGGGCTCTACACTTCTGCAGTATTGCCTGTGTCTCTCTTGCTTGTGTCATAAGTGTAATGATAATTACTGTTTCTTCTTTAAATCTCAGTTTCTGGGGTCAAAGTGCACGTGATGCTTTCAGCCTTCAGTCTTAAAAGTGTCTAGCATTCTTGACTGTGGGGTAAACTTCCAAATGTAATTCCAGTGCATCCAAAAGACTCAAAAAGTAGGTGAATAAATAACAACAATAAAACAATAACAGTAAAAACTCAAAATCCTATTATCTTTACCTAGTCCAGTGGCTCTCAAAAGTGTGGTTCAGCTGTCTCAGATGGGCTGTGGGCTCAGGACTTGTTTCCCTCCCCCCCC